AGGGACCGATGCCTTCTTGCTGCGGCGCACCCGCCGCGAGGCGTGCGTAGTAGTGTAGTTGGGTCGGCACTGGTACGTCAGGTACAAAGGTGCAGATAGATGCGCGGGCCTCCAGGCCGTCGGTGTAGGCAGCAATGCCCATCTCATCTTTGTGCGCGGAGGCAGACGCCATCAGAAAGGTGGACGGGCACTATNGCGAGCAGGGCTAGACTCACCCTCGAGGGACCGATGCCTTCTTGCTGCGGCGCACCCGCCGCGAGGCGTGCGTAGTAGTGTAGTTGGGTCGGCACTGGTACGTCAGGTACAAAGGTGCAGATAGATGCGCGGGCCTCCAGGCCGTCGGTGTAGGCAGCAATGCCCATCTCATCTTTGTGCGCGGAGGCAGACGCCATCAGAAAGGTGGACGGGAACGTCTATGTACACGGCCCTAGGTTTGCTAGAGGAAGCTGTACTGTCTCAGCAATCTGGTTTTGCCATCAAAGGAGGAGGGGACAGGTGGTGACGAGCTGATTGGGCTGGTTGACCCTCCGGCGCGAGAATTTTCAGACCAAGAACCCTATGTGCAACGAGGGAGAAAGCGAGGNACACCGGAGAAGCGGCACCGGAGAAGCGGCACCGGAGCAGCCGCATCGGACCATGTGGACGGTGATAGATATACTTGTAGCAATGGCAAGTGGTTGGTGCTGGATGTTCCCATAGAAAGAGGTAGAGCGGAATACCGGGTGACATGTGTGGTACGTAGAATGGATTCCAGGGATGTACAAGGTACCCCTGTTGTATACGGCGTCGCCCCCTCAACGGGGCTTGTGTGGGTGTATGTGGATGCAACTAATCACCGCAAGTTTTTCTCCTCGGCGCAAGCCCGCCGAGTTGCCGACACCCCATTCAACACACGTCTTGCGACAAGCTACCCCCAGTTCGGATTATCCTAACAAGCTAGCGTGTGATATCATACGGGATCCCGAGGTGGGGCTAGCTACAAAAGGGTTCGGCCAGAGAACAGTGACACGGAAATCATGGAGCAGCAGCTGGATGAGCCCCACCTCTCGGACGAGCAGCGAAACGTAATCGACCCTCTCATCTAGGAGCAGGTCAAGATCAAAGTAGAAGAAGCAACAGCAGCAGAGCGCCCCGCAGCACAGAGCGAGGGCATGCCTTCCGAAGGAGGCGACACCCGGCTGGAGAGGCCGGCTGGCTCGGAGTCAAGCCCGCGACCCGAAGACCAGCCCCGATCGCCGGCGGACGTCAGTCTCATCAACACCCTCGCGCGGGCCTTGCAGAGGGTCAAGATAAAACCGGAGGATGAATACAGGGAAGTCCCAACCCCTAAGAATCAATACGCATTAGCGCAGGTACCACAATCCTTGCATTCACCGGGAACTTTAGCCCCGAGGACGATGTACAGACGGCATGAATGGTTTTAACCAGTCAATTTCGATCTTTGTTGGAGCAGGAGCGTTGCCTTGGGGCAATAGAATCGAAGAACACGCTTCGTGTAGGGAAGACGGATGCGAATATCTCGGCATTGAAGGTGGAGCATGGGACGGAAGCTGTAGATCGGGCGGTTAAGGCTTGGCAGCTAATTATATCCAAGATACAAGTACCGACAATAGTCCCTGAAATCCTAGCTAGTGGTTGCCCCACTGAATCGTGGGATCAATTCCTCAACTTTTACCGAGTGCACGCAGAAACGGACAAGTTGGAGTTGCAGGGGCAGTGGTACTCGTTGAAGCAGCAAGTAGGGGAGGAGCCCCGGCGCTATCTCACAAGAGCATCAGTACTTCGCCAGAAACTAGAGGCATACGGTTGGGTGCAATCCGATCATGATACTAACGTCCACTATGTACGCAACCTCCTGCCCGATCTCAATGTGCAGAGGAGCGTGTTGTTGGCGCATTCGGAGGTCAAGACGGAATTGGTAGAGAAGGTGATTCTGACTGCCTGGGCGGAGACGGAGGCCGCTAGGAAGAGGGCGCCGGAGAGCGTGGGGGCTTATGCCCTCGTCACTGGCGGTGATAACCGTGGTGGCGTGGGCGGGAACATGGGGGATAGGTGGAAGACGAGAGGACAACGGAGGACGGCAGCGCGGCAACAGCAGCAATAACCGCAGCAGCCACAGCAGCAGCATCAGCCGTACTTCAAGCAGCAGCAACAGGTATACCCGCCGCCGTACCCGCCTGAGATAAAATATTGTGACCTCCACAACTCCTCGTCCCACAGCAACGAGGAATGTCGCTTGCAGCGGTGTTGGGGAGGTCCCTCGGGGGGCCAAGGTGCGAGCTACGGCGGAAGGCACGGGCCCCAGCATGGGGGCCGGGGCTTTTCTGGAGGAGGACGTCATCAGCAGCAGCCGGCAGGAGGAATGTTCGGGGGGCGTGGCGCCGCTTCCGGTGGGAGGGGCAGGGGCCCTCTTCAACAGGAACCGCCGGGCAGCAACCTCCCCGCCCACCCTGTACCTCAGCGGGGCTACGACTATAGCGCCTACCCCCCCCATGTTACGCCCGCAGGGAAATGAACCTCCAATCCACCTGAATGACCCTCGCAAGCGGTGTGAGAACTGCGGTGAACTCGGCCACAACCATCTGTTCTGTCCTTCGCGTGGTGATGTCGGAAGGCCAGCTGGCATGCCGGCCGCCAACGCACCGCCTA